TTTTGTTTATTGTTTTTTCTCAATATGAAAAATCATGTGATATGACGTCATTTCGACTATTTCGCGACTTTAGCCTTTAATGGTCAAAATGATTTCGACCATTTCGACCATTTTGGATATCCGAAATGATCTATTTCGACTTCATGTATAATCTGAATCACTTGGATTGTTCTTTTTCTGAAGGTTATAAACAGCATTATACAAATTACTTCTTTATAAGGATGATTGGGATAATCATGTTAGAGTAATAGATAGATCGATCTTGAATCCAATTTATCTTGAATAACATATTTTTTAATATCTGCTAACATTTTAGGTGTTAATTTGCGAAATTGTGTACTGATCTCACCAATCATAGAGGTAAGTAGATGATTATGAGTATCAATAAAAGAATTGATTTTTACTATTGACATTATTTTAGGATAGATAACATTCAATTTTCAAGGACATTCAATTCGTTGAGATATAGCTATATGATGTTAATAGGATTGAATGTTATATTTAGATTGTGTGTATCAGATTTAGTATATACATATGTTGCTCTTTTAACTACACTATCATTTATATCACTAGTCTGAATTTTGTAAATAAATCCTTTTGATTTTACAAATTGATTGATTCAAATTTTAAAAGATTGTCAGTTTGAAAACAAAAGGCCAAACTTCAATTCTAGTGATAACTCATGATCCTTATTTTCATTTACATTTTTCTGATTTTTTTGTTTATATTCATTACCAATAGTTTGAACATCTAAAGGTAAGTAATTAAGAAAGCTATCAATATTATTATTAAAGGAAGTAATATCACTACTTCCAAAAGGTATAGTAGATATTAATAAATGGGAAGCATCAGGTTTGAGGGTGTTATTTGATTCAAGATTTTTATTAGAACCATGAAATTCAATATCATTACTATTAAAATCGAATAATCTTGTAAACTGATATTTAGTCAAACTATCAGAAAAAGTATCAATGGTATCCTTTTTATTATTTGACATTGTTAAACTTATTAGATTTTAGTAAGAAAAAAAAAAGATGCAATTGATATTATACAATGTAATAAATCAAGTAAAACTTACTGGGTTTAATTGTAGGTATGTATGATATGCTGATATAATGAATGAAATACAAAGTGGTGAAAGAAATTTGTTACAGAATCTTTATAACAAGTGGGAGAAATATTTTGGTAAAGAAAAATAAAGAGAGAAAGCAAAAGATTCAATTACATCAGAAACATGCAATTTTATAATATGAATCACATGATATCAACAAAACGAATCTATTTTATTAAAAAATCAAATGTCTAATTTAACAAAATTAAACACGTGATATAATAAATATTTCAATCATGTGATAAGTGTCTAAAACACGTAGTGTTCGATAAAAAATATTCTTATTTAATATATATAGAAATTTAATACAAAATAAATAAAAAAACTAATTTTAAATATTTTTTATAATTTGGTAATTTTTTATCATCATATTTATTAGGTTTTAAATCATCTAATGGCAAATCATTTTCAAATTCATTATTAGATTCATTTATTTCTACTTCATCTTCGTTATAAATATTATTTCCACTATTATTTTTTCTCTTCTTTTTTTTGGATAAAAAATTATAATCAAATAATAAATGATCTTCACTTCCATCTCTAGTTACTGATACTCCACAACATTTAAATGATTTGTAAATTAAAATCATTTCATGAATCCATAACTCATTTAGCAATTGTAGAATAAGATGGTTTTTTAATACGTCCTACTAATGTTAATTGATACATTTCTGAAGCCATTCAATCTTGATAGTATTGTCTCAATTTAGATTTAAAACTTTTATTAATAGAAATATCTAATAGTTGAAGTTTACTAGTTAAACACCTGAAATTACTGCTAAATTTGTTTGTTTTTTAACAAATCTATTTTTAACAGTATTAACCAAATGCCTTCTAAAAGAATCTAAAACTAGAAGAGATCGAGAATTATGTAATAGATTATATTGATTCCATACATTTTCAATTTATCATAACATATTCATCTATCCTTTTTCATTTACACGAAATTTAATACCTTGAGGAAATTACTCTTTTGAAATGTTTTTTTATTTGAATACAAGTAGCTAGAAGTTTTGTATCATCAGTCAAACATGATAAAATAACAGTAAAATGAGTTTTTTCATGACTGGTTATACAAATAGTTACTATTGAAATATCACGTTGATCTAATATTATATTTGAAGGTAAATCAAAAGTGACTGGAGTCTTATCCATGTTACCAATATATTTTAAAGAGTAATCATATTGAATTCTTTGATATAAAATAAAACTAAGAAAACTTTGTTATTTTTGTAATAGATTATTTGAAAAATGTTACATAATATGAGTTTATCGTTGTGTTGCAAAATTAAATCTTTTCATAAAACTTTCTAACCATATATTTGAAAATTTAAAATTATTAATATTTAGATAAAGATTAAGATAATCTTTAGCTATAGATTTAGCACTTCTAGTAATCATATTTTGTGTAACAGCCTTCCTTCTTTTATACAGTTTTTGAATATAAGGAGCTGCATTTTCTAATTGATTTTTTTGGTTTTTCCAATATCATATTTGTTTAGACTCAACTTCAAATTTTTTAACTGCTAACCTATTACTTTCATATTGTTCAGCATAATTGATAATAAGTAATTTCTCTTTTGCATATCACTGCCTTTTTTCTTTAAAGAAATATGGGATTTTTTGTAAGAACTTTTATTATGATATACTACCTTTTTTTTTGAGAAAAGACTTTTTGTATTAGAATTTTGTAAAAGAATGCATTATAAAAAAAGCTGATTATGCATTACATTCTGATCTAATAAATTTTCTAATCACATCCTCTTTAAAAAGCGACATTTGATTCTATTAAAATTCATCAATAACATTATAAATATTTTTTTTGAATTACTTATCAGCTTATTTTTAGATTAGTTAAGAAAACTATTAAGTTCAGCTGTTTTAAACGATTCAGATAGGTTTGAATATTTTAAGCAATTTAGAGTTTATTATTATTAACTAGGGAACGGAAACCATTAGATAAGTCCAAAGCAAAATTTAACCAATAAGAAAGCAGATCAAATTCGTGACAATTGCTATTATATTTTTTAATTTAATTAGCTTATATACAATTTAATTTATTTAGATGATAAAAGCATATGTAAAAAAAAATATATTTTTTTTTATTAAATAAAGTATTAAATAAATTGAACAAATTCATATAAAAAAATTAAATTTAATAATTTAAATCAAAATAAAAATTGCATATATAAAATCAGAATAAAATTTTAATTGTTAATGTCTAATCAAAATACTAATGATGAGATATTTAGAAAGAATGATGAAATACTTAGAAAGTGAAATAATAGGACTCAAGAGACTGTTGAAGAAAGTGAAGTTCGGCTCGCATATGAACGTGAATTAAAACAGCAAAAACGTGTAAAAGAAACTGAAAAAAAATGAGATAGACATCTTTCAAGCGTTTGAGAAAAAAAAAGGAAAAATCAATTCAGAAACCACTAATGAACGTGAAAAATGATTGGCTCACGAAAATAAATGAAAATATGATGTACGAAAATGTAACAAGCAAGATCAACAAGAAAGAATAGAATATCAGCAAAGAAACGTGAATAAACAAATTCAGCACAAAACAGTAGATACATGAGAACTGCAGGCACAGGTAAGTCATATCTTATCAAGGCAATTCGATAACGGCTTCGATCAATGTCATGAAATTGATCTGAAATACCTGTTCTTGTAATTGCTCCTACAGGAGTAGCAGCATATAACATTAACGGATTAACAATTCATTCAACGCTGTCCATACCAATCAACAATAATTGCTTTGATCTCGATAGTAAAAGATTAAAATAATTACAAGAAAGATTAGAAAATATAATTTACCTGATTATCGATGAAAAAAGCATAGTTGGATGATGAATGCTCGGGTTAATAAATATGAGACTGCAACAGGCATTTCCTGATCAATCGGATGAACCATATAGAGGACGATCTATCATAATGTTTGAGGATTTTGGGTAGTTTCCACCAGTATTTGACCTTACTATGTTCTCCAACAATGCATCATGAGATACCAATTCCAACAATGGTATAGCATCATACAAACATTTGGGAAGTTTGCTAGAAAAATGGGATTCTGAGACATTTTTTAAAAAATTGAAATTTTTGATACATATTAATCTATAACTTATAAACTTTAATT